CTGCTGAACATTCACATTACAAAAGCTAAATGCTGTTTCATAAAAAAAGCCATTTTTGTGTTGATTTGATCATCCAGACCAGCCGGACAAAGCAACACTGGTTCAACCAATGCCATGAGTTTGAGGCAGGACTATCCATTTTTTTAACATTTATGGCAGACTGTGGAAATGTTTGGCAAGCAAACAAAGAAATGCAGCACTTTGTCAAATTCAGTCTGTATCATTAAACAGGCTTATTAACGGGATAGTTCAAAAATGAAAATTCTGTCATCATTTACATCATCCAAACCTGTATTCATGTTTTTCTTCTGTGGAACACATGAGAAGATTGAAGAATGTGAGTTACCAAACAGTTGATGGGAGCCATTGATTTCCATAGTATTTTTTTTTTCTATAATATGAAAGTCAGTGGCTACTATCAACTGTTTGGTTGCCTATACATTCTTCAAAATATCTTATTTTGTGCTCAGCAGAAGAAAGAAATTCATACAAGTTTAGAATGACATGAGGGTGAATAAATGATGACAGTTTTCAATTTTGGGTGAACTATCCTTTTAACCATTGCTTTATGTGTTCAGGAGGGTTAAATGTATCTCCTACCAAGTAAAGTGATGATGCAGGCCAGGATGGCAACGAAAGCTCCAGTGCTGAGTCCAGCTGACAGCATGAAGGCCTCTGTGCCACATGACTGGGGTGTCCCATCAGGGTCACAGTCACACACTCGAATAGACAGCGTGTTAGTGCTGCTGAGAGCAGGGGTCCCGCTGTCCACTATCAACACCGGCAGTCGATACATAGCCTGGTCCCTCCTCTGAAAACCACCCCTCTTAGTTAGAATAGAAGCAGTATTGTCTGCAGAGAGAAAGAGATAGGTATGATATCATGTGAAAAGTGAAAAAAAAAAATGACTCACATGAATAGATAAAATGAAGTCTTTTTGGTCTTATTAGGAATAAGACGAGTTCTGAGGATTCGCTATAAACTGTCTTAATGAAATCACGCACCTTTATTGTCTCGGAGGGTGAAGTTCATGTTCCCAGCTGTCTCTACAGTGAGGGAGAAGACGAAGCGATGCCCGCTGGGTGGTTCATCTTTATCCACTGCACTTACGGTTTCAATGACCTAAGACAGTGTCGAAGAGGGAGTAAAGAACAGGAAGATGAATACTGCTGTTATTGCCTCACTCCAGACAAAATAATCCACAGCTCTCCCGCTCAAAACACTGCAGTGTTGCTATAATAATGAATGTTTGAGATTATAGGTAAACCTGAATATTTCATGAATGGAATTAATTACTTGATATGTTTATTAATTAGTACAAATTAATTGAAATGAGTAGCATATATCAATATTTGCTCAGAATATCACCAAAAGGAATATTATTTAAGACATTACATTATTGTGGCAGGTTGAAGCACTGAACAAGTCAATTAATTATGATTATTAAATGAAATATATGTTATTTCCATATAATTGAACATACCCCATACAAATATATTCAGATTCTTCAAGCAGCTATACTGTATCTACCTGACCTGAACATTACTGCTTTTGTTCATATAATCTAAGTGAATCAGTCAAAATGAACTAATATATTTACTTGAATTTAATTATTTAGATGCTACAGAATAGTTCTAGATCATTTGCAAAAACATTTTTAACGTCCACAACAACACGTTTTGCAATTTTTTTATTATTATTATTATTGGTCTATGTACACATACATCAGGCAAACATCTTAGGCAGTTGTGTTGTGTCTCACTGGCTTTTCAGCATCTTCCACCATGGAAGTCTTATTTTAAGACAAAAAAATTGTTTTTAATTCGACCTCAAGATCCCTGCAATTTTGAACACATTTTAAATATAATAATTGACTAATTTAACTTTGAATTGATGCCCACATTTTATGTTACAACATAGAAAAATTTCAACCATCAGCCGAATTCAAGGAGGTGAACTTGGGAGGGGGAAAAACAATTCATAAGTTTAAATCATGCTGAAAACAACATCAGGAGGATAGACTAAGCCAGTAAGCTATCTGAGTGAGACTACGCTCATATGGTATCTAGGGATTTAGCAAAGTAGAGGGCCATCCCGGTCTAAATCTGGACTGAAACCCTTAAAGCTGGGCAAAGTGCTGCATTTTAGTGATGAATATCAGGGTGACCCATCAGGTGGTATGCTAAGAAGATTCTCCTGACACACTGTTGTGGCCTAATCTGTGGGCTTTGGCTGGGTTAAATACTATGTGCACAGCTCTTCCCTTGTGTCAGGCTGCAGTCAGCACAAACTCAATCTGCTTGAAAAATCTCCTAAAACCTTACGCACAGGATGAATGCAGCGGAGCCGTGGCTAGCGGACACTCCTGTATCATTTCCTCATTCGTCCGAAGAATATGACCTTGTACTAACCAAGAGCTTTTCAGCGCTTTAATTCTCCACTCAGTTATTTTTATTAAACACCGCCCTCCATTTACACTAAGTGAGTATTTGGCAATGGGAACTCTGACGGATTTATCATTTATCTGTAAATATTTTTGAAATCGTAAAACGTTGCGCTATTAAAAACCTGCATAAACGACACAAGCAGAGATTACAGTAAACTGTGACAAAATTAATTACAGATAGTCCATTAAGGCGAATCCAAAGTGTATTGATAAAATCATTGAGGCAATGGGTTCATTTAAAATGAATAAGAACATCTTGTCAAGGCAGAGCGTCTTAAACAAAACGTCTCTAGTTTACGTATGTAACCATGGTTCCCCGAGGGAATGAGACGCTGCGTATATATTCTTTTGAATGCTTGTGGACTGACAGACAACAGTAAATAGACTGACACATACACAGAGCGCTACTGAAGAGCAGAAGCTAACTTGCGCTCTGCCGGATGTGCTTTTATACTTCCTGGCGCTCACGTCACCCCGCTCGTGACGTCTCGCTGCTCCATTGGACTGATTTTACACATGCTTCAGAATGCGGTCACGCAGGGGCGTTCCCAAAGCGATCTCGATGCAGCTCGAGTTCCTGAAGGGGAACCTGATTTCGCATTTACCAACCGAGGAGAGGTGGAAAAGTAAATAATTTTTAGAATAATACTGTAAAAACACAAAATGGCTCTTGTGTAGCCAATAAGTGCATTATATGGAAAAATATGAGGGATTTAAGCCTTTTTGCTGTACATGTAAAAATGGCTGGAGGGCAAGGAATCTCTCCTGTGCCACCTGATTTTACAGAGGGGAAAATCTTCACCGTGGTGAGTCTGCTCATGGAGAGTTAGCAGTCATGAGCGCTTTAAAACACCGGTCTCTCAGCTTGCCACTGCTGACCATGTCTCTGAGGCATAAAGAAACAAGACAGAATATAGACGACCTTAAAGAGATAAAAAAAAAAAACCCTGGGAAAACACTCACTCCTCATAATCTAATCTGTTAAATCACCTGTAACAAATCACCTGGCTCATTTACAGACCGCAGCTTCAATTCATATTAAGGTTCTATTAAATTCAAAAAGTCATATTAGGAACAAAAGAGAAACCAAGGGCACAGAGAAAAGAGCTTTGTGCTGGGAAACGAAGGTGAAGACATACGTTTGGTGCCTGTGACCCCATTACAGGCACTTGTTGGATGGGGATCTGGGGACCTTTTTCAACAAGCCATCTGTTTTAGACTCGGGTGCAATGATGGGGAATATTCCCTCTCGTATCATGTACATAAGGGATGGGTGATTATGATTGCCTAGTCATCCAACAACTGACTTCATCTAGATATTTAAAAAATTTTCAGAATTTTAGAGACCATTCTTTAAATGTTAAGGAATTGTCAACAATAGCGAAGATGAAACTGCACTAATTAAACAATACTGCTAATGAAAATAAGATATTAACAATGCACTAACCATGTTTTCAAATAGAAATAATTTGGTTAACACAATTTAACACAGTCATACAGTAAGTAATCCAACCAAACTTTCCATTTTAAAAAGAAAATGCCAGAGCATTTTCCACCAAGTTAAAAATAGCGCAACTTTTATAAACACATATTGAGACTGCATTCTGATTTGTTACATTGCGCTAATTGCTTTTCAATTTTGAAACTCTGAAATGTAGTTTTTGCTCTCTCTACGGCAAGTGAGTATATAGGAAAAAGTGAATAATTTAATTTGCACTCAAAACCTGGTTTCATTTGCTCTCAAAAACCAGGCAACATGTTTACCATGCAACTATATGCAACGATTCATTCTTACTCCATACAGTCTCTTTCAGAGTGTCTGGCTTCTTGATGGATCAGGTGTGAAGCTCTAAATATACAAATGTGCAGATGAGGTCTATGAAAACAACGAAGTGGAGATACACTTGCAGATAACAATGTAACAACAGGCTGAAAGTGCCTATTTCACCTCAGTCGCAAATAGACAAACAGCATTTGCGACTATTTTGCGAGGCACTGATGTGACAAAGAATGTAAAAGTGCCATCACTGTTTGTTGATGATATTGTGCCTCACGGCAAACACTCTGTCTGATCAAAATTCTTCGTCTAACAGCTCCAGAACGCCTCACTCAAAGGCTTTGACTTTCAGATTCGGTCTCCAAAAGCACTCCAGGATGTCTGAGAGCCTCTGTTCTATAGGTACAGAGGTTTAAGGTCTGTTATAAGGACAGAGTCATCGTGCTAAGAATCACAAGAGAGATCCGCGCTATCGAGACAGCATTTGACTATCACTGCAGCATCGCTCAAGTACTCCCATGGCTGAAGATATGGAAGTGAACATGAATCACAGGGGAAAAGATATCATTATGAAAACATATAGGCGCATTCATTTCTATTCAGAGAAAGAGAGACCGTTCTACTTTTCCTCTGAGAGGCGGGAAAGTAATTTAGCCTCTAATATGAGAGAGAGCTCTGAAAGTTAGAAGTGATGGAAGTCTGGGGTGTCCAAAACACACAGAGAGTGTTCTTGGGGGACTATGGTAATGCGTTTCAAGGCTGAGATAGCATTTGTCAAAAGAGCCCACCAGCATCTTTTCACTTAGGCAAAACAAACACAGTTCCCTGTGAGTCTGGGACACAGGCAGGCCAGGACTAATTGTTATGGCCCAGACAATCATGCCACTACAGGGGATTGTATCTCATGCTCAGTAAACCCTGTAGCCTTGTTCTGTCCTCTCTTTGTTTTGAGAGATCTTGTGGGAGGGATTATTTTTCTTAAGAAAAAGAAAAACATCCTTCAGTATTCTTTCACTGCTCCCAAAAGAAATGATCAGATCAAGTCGATTTCTGATACACTAATAAAAACATTGTAATTGAGTGAGTAAGATTTTCAAACACCTCTGCAAATTGACTATTAATTCTCCTCTAAATAAACACCGTCTGTCAATGAAACAATTACAGTTACTAAGTAGGGTTTCTATGGACGCTTCTTTCTTGTTTCTGACGATTTATAAAAAATAAATAAATAAATAAATCAAATAATAATAATAACAATAATAATAAAATTTGATTGTCAGATACAGCTTAAAAGAAGAAACTCACATTGTGATATATAGTCACAAATACAAGAAATAATCACATTTATAAGTTAAACTGGCATAAACCTGCAGTCATGAGTTGTATTTAAAAGAAAAAGACACAACCAATTAGACACAGTCACAAATTCAGAAAAATACATTTGAAATTGTGAAATATAAAGTCACAATTGTGAGATAAAGTCACAATTATGAGAAATAATCAAAACTGTGAGTTAAGAAGTTGCAAATTACAAGAAATTAAGTAGAAATATATAGAAATAGCTGCAACTGATGTGATCATAATTGTGAGAAAGTCTGAATTACGAGAAATAGTCACAACTGTGAAATGTTATGATGCAATTGTGAGATAAAGTCGAGTTTATGAGAAATAGCCGCAGCTGACACAAAGTCTAGATTGTGAGATAAAGTCAGAATTATGAGAAATCTGTGAGACATACTATTAATTCTCCTCTAAATAAACACCGTCTGTCAATGAAACAATTACAGTTACTAAGTAGGGTTTCTATGGACGCTTCTTTCTTGTTTCTGACGATTTATAAAAAATAAATAAATAAATAAATCAAATAATAATAATAACAATAATAATAAAATTTGATTGTCAGATACAGCTTAAAAGAAGAAACTCACATTGTGATATATAGTCACAAATACAAGAAATAATCACATTTATAAGTTAAACTGGCATAAACCTGCAGTCATGAGTTGTATTTAAAAGAAAAAGACACAACCAATTAGACACAGTCACAAATTCAGAAAAATACATTTGAAATTGTGAAATATAAAGTCACAATTGTGAGATAAAGTCACAATTATGAGAAATAATCAAAACTGTGAGTTAAGAAGTTGCAAATTACAAGAAATTAAGTAGAAATATATAGAAATAGCTGCAACTGATGTGATCATAATTGTGAGAAAGTCTGAATTACGAGAAATAGTCACAACTGTGAAATGTTATGATGCAATTGTGAGATAAAGTCGAGTTTATGAGAAATAGCCGCAGCTGACACAAAGTCTAGATTGTGAGATAGTCAGAATTATGAGAAATCTGTGAGACACGAAGTCACAAATTGAGATAAATAAATGCAATTGTGAAATATGAAGTCACAACTGTGAGATAAAGTTGCAATTACAAGAAAATAACATCAGAATTAGAAAATAAATGCAGTATTAGAATATAAACATGAACTTCTTTCTGTGTAGCTTGTATAGAGTTACAGTAGTAATGCAGTAGATGCTCTGAGAAGGAAAGGCACCTATAGTTGAGTAGAATCAGTCATGTTTTCACCACTGGTGTTGGTCCTCTGACATTACCCACTGCTTTCAAGATTAATGGAGGATCATGTCACAAAATTTGTCAATGGCTTTTATCATTCCCATTAGGACTGAACAAAGGTCCAGAATGTTTCCTCTATGCAATCATAGCGAGTGTTTAGTATGTAGCATTCGTAATGCCCTTTATACCACTTTCATCTTAGTAATGACGTTCTGACAAACAATGGAATATGAATGCGACAGAGAATGTGTTTGAATCAGGGCATGTTGCTGGCTCGAAAATGAGGAACCCATTGGTTTGCTTGTGTGTGTGTGTGTGTGTGTTCTGCAATTGCCTGCTGAAGGACTTCACATTTGGCTACTTGACACAATGCCACGCTCTCCAACAAACCAATTTCATGCCACAGTCACCTCTGTCTCATTTGCATCAGTGTAAAGCTTTTTCCGCATGAGCGCACAATGTTTTGATCCCGTGATTAGAGTGATCTGCAGCAGAAAGCCACCAGAATCCTGTTGTTATCATTTTGTCCATCTGTGGTTCTCGCTGCTCTTTACTGGCTATGGATCAGTACTAAGGTCCAGATTCTTTCAGGTTGAGTTTCTGATGAAGGATATCAAAATATATACATATAAACTAATGAAAAAAATAAAAGACGCATTATTATAACCTTGGTTTAAACCATCTTAATCTGCACACTGCAATACATAATCTGAAAATTACATCTCTTTTCATTTATTAGGTGCTTCCAACAGTAATGCTGCACAATTAATTTCATACAATATCAGAAAAGTTGTGACATGAATAATCATTTCTGTTTATTGGACTATACAGGTTTCAAATCGCATTTGATATGAAAGCCTTTCTGTTGAAGAATTAAGAGCCACAATACCTGTCCTGGCCCAGCACTTTCACACAGGATGGTCTCATACTCTATGGCAAAAACTGGTGCGTTGTCATTAATGTCCATCACCGTGATCAGAGCCACTCCTTTCCCAACCTGCGACGGATCCACTGAAATCACAGAGAAAAATATGCATGCATGAACAGGCTAACAGATGAAAAAACATGAGGACACCAGCACATTTATTCCAGTAGGTTTAATTTATTTAAATGTGTTACATTATTTAATAGATTGCATTTATTTAAATATGTGCCTTGCCATCTTCCCGGCCACCGTTGGTTTTTCTCACTGAGGGCATTAAATCATAATTTTCTGTAATTCTGAAGTGAAATTATTTGTATTATGAAAAGATTTTACTTCACCAAAAAAAAAAAAAAAAGTCTGTAAAAATCTGTATCATTTGAAAATATTATAGTGCACAAATATTAATGTAAAAAGAATAAAGCTAAAATTAATAGTATGAAATTAAGTATTACAGTAAAATACATTCATTATGAATCTATTAGGGATGCAACAATACAATATAAACCTTTTTTTTTTCGGTTCTGATGGCTTGGCACATCAAAATCTCTTTTTTTTTTGTAATTTAAAATGTGATTTTTAAAACAAATTAACAAAAATAAAAGAAGAAATAGAACTCATAATACGGACAGAGGCATCCAGCCATCGCTGTAGCTGAATAAAAAGATGATGAATGATGAAACATGAAGTCAAGAAAGACTCAACAGCAAAAACATGTACTGTTTTGTTGGACAGCAGGTTTAGAAACGCTTCTCATTACAATTTATTACAAGGGAAGATGTTTGGCGTGTTTCTTTTTCAGTGGGGAGGCGTTTCCTCATCTCAGAACGTAAACTCACGGGCACACACAACAGAGCCAATTCGGAAAGAAATAAAATGCACGGAAATGATTGAAATGCAAAACCGGAACCGTGGATGTTGTACCGAACGGTCAGTGTTAGGGAGGTTACTTTGGAAATGTAGCCTAATAGGTTACAGATTACAAGTTCCCTTTCAGTCGGTCACTCTCGACGTCACGTCGGATGACCGACGAATTGGGATCTCGCTTAGAGAGACCAA